GTCCCTGCCACTTCCTCATGGATTGCGGAGCTGAGATGGAGAGCTGCTGCCTCCCACCTACACAGCACGGCCTGCCTGGCAGCTGGCTGGCTGTGTGGTCCTCTTTGCCCGCTTCATGCTGAGGCCTGGCGCAAATGCTGGTGCTATCTGAGGAAATCCCCATCCTTGCTGACATTTAGGCCACCCAGAAGAGAAAACCCAGCGAAAACTCCCCAGCCACAGTGCCAGGCAGTGGAGGGACCTTCAGTCTGCATCCTGCAACCTGAAATCTGCACTCTGCAGCCATCAGCCTTTGTCTCACTTCATCCTGCAACCTGTGCCCTGCATCCTGCACGCTTGATTCTGCATCCCACGTCCTGTATCCCAGACCCTGCATCCCATAACTGCAGCCTCCATCCCATATCTCACAGCCTGCATCCTGCACCCTGCTGCCTGTGGTCTCCACTAGCTCCAGAGCAATTTATTTTGCTCCCCATTATAGTACTAGTCACGGAGGACTGGTCAGGCTCTGCTCACACAACCCAGCACATCCCAGCCATGTGTATCCCAATACACATTTGGGATGACCCAAATGCCCTTCCCTCTGGTAGGTACATCCTCTCTGGGCACCATGAGGGTTGGGTGGTGGGTTTGTGGCAGCTTGAGTTTCAATGGCACGTCTTTTGATCACTGTGTTTCAGGAAACAAGGGGATGGGTGGGTCATGGCATGGTACACACAGATTGGAGACTTCCTGCCCTTTACCAGCTCCCTTTCACCTATTCCTGCTTCCCTTCCCAGGGTCACAGGGCTGGGGAGGTGTGGGAGCTGTGGGACCCTGTGTCCCAGTGTGCACTACAGGCTTCCCTGTCCTGCAGGTGTGGGAAGGGCCAGAGCCATCCCTGCTGGTGGTGATGCTGGAGGCTTTACAACCCTGAACCCATGAGTCAGTGCCCATGAGTCAAGGTGGCTGAGTCTGGTGCCAGTCACACTTTCCAGTGCTTAGCTGTGCCAAAAGAGAAAGCCACTTTCTCCAGCTGTCCTAGGCCTTTCTCTTCCCAACCCTGTGCCAGCGCCCACGGCTGACTGTGTTGGCACCCGTGGCTCTCTGTGCTTTCTAGAGGACACATTTTGCTCATCCTGCCTGCAGCATTCAGATGGCTGCAAGGAGCCACCAGCAAGAAACCCTCTGTGCCTGGGGAAAAAACCCTGGGTCAAAACTAAAGAACACTGCCCTGATGGGATGGGCATCCAGCCGGTGTGACCAGTCCCAGCCCCAGGGCATCCCATGTCCCAGACTCCCAGGCACCCCATTCCTCATGATCCCCTTTCCTTCACAGTGACGTGACGTTCGTGGTGGGCCGGGAGCAGCAGCAGGTATTTGCACATCGCTGTGTGCTGGCGTGTCGCTGCCAGGCCTTCCAGGGGATGCTCAGCCAGGGACTGGTGGGCAGCGAGGACCCACCTGGCAGCATCCCACCCCAGGGCCCCTTTGTCCTGGGCAACGTGCAGCCCGAGGTCTTCCTGGCTGTCATTGAGTTCCTTTACACCAACAGCATCACCCTCAACAGCCACATTGTGAGTGGGGATGGGGCTAGTGGGGCATGGGAGGGGCAAGGGGGAATGCAGGGTGTAGGGGGGGAACTTTCCATCTTCTGGGGTGCTGAAGGTGGAGGGGATGCTCTTCATAATGCTTTCTGGCTGGCTAACGCAATGGAAGTGTGGGTTCCAGCACAGTGGGAATCCAGAGCACCCTGCCCCACATGCATCTTCCCCAGCCTTGGGATAACTGGCCACGTGGACACTGGTGCTGGAAATGGGGATACCAGAGCAGGACGCCTTCATATACCCCCATATGACAGCTCCTTCCCTCCCACCAATACTCCACGAGGGAGCTCCCCCAGAAGCGGGAGGACATGTGCCCTTGGCCCCTGGGCTGCCATGCCCATCCGGAGCCCTGTGTGCTGGTGCTCACAAGGTGTCTCTTGCCTGCAGGTGCTGGAGGTGCTGACCTCATCGGTGGAGTATGGCCTGCAGGACCTGTGCAAGGTATGGCCCTGCTTACACTGGAGGTGGTGGTCCCCAAGTGCCCCAAGATGGTCCCTGCATGGCTGGTGGCTTTGAGGATGGCACCGTGGTGCATCACCCATGTCTAGGTGGCTCTGCCGCTGCTTCTCAATATCGGAGGGTCTGTCCAGTGGGATCCTCCTTGAGGGTGTGCAATACTGTCCAGGAGACTTGTGGGGGCTGGGGAATCCCAAGGAAGGACATGGGGCCTCAGATCTCCCACACAGCAAAGGGCAGCAGGAAAACCCCTATGCTGTCACCCATGATACCCTCTGGTCATCTGGCAGGATGATGCTGTGGGGGAAGTTGTGGGGAGCATTCAGCACCCCAGCCACGGTGCTGCCAAGGGGGTGCTGCTTTGGGCAGGAAGGTTTTGGGAAGGCAGCAGGGAGCAAAATGTAAGTGTGGAGGAGTCAGATGAGGAGAGGGCAGGGAGCTGAGGCAGCCCAGTGATGGGGAGGGCAGCCAGGCCACGTCATCAGAGTGATTCCTGAATTACAGCTGGGCTGATCTCATGACCCACTGTCTTGCGCCTGGACTTCCCCTCCCTTCCCGCTGGGGAAGCACTTCGTAGAGGAGCTGAGGAACCATAAGCTGTTCAGTGCTGGGGCAGCAGGATGGAGCATGCCCCTTCACCTCCTGTGGACAAGCTTATCACCAACCTCAGATATGGCACGGGACTGTCAAACAGCTGATTGGGCAAGGAGGGGACAGAAGAGGTGTTGTAAAAAAAAGGGGGATCCAGTGCCCCAGCCTCACCATCCAGCAGATCTATCCTCAGGGGGATGATCTGCTGTGGGGAGAGCCATGGAGAAGGGGTTGGGGTGGGGGAAGGGGCTGACTGTGGACAGTCAAGGAAGCCCGTGGCTGTGTCACCATCTGCAGGGTGATGTCATCTCCATCCCAACAGTGACTCAGGGCCCTTCTGCTCCAGCTGACAGCTCCTCCCTTCACGTCACATCCCCTTGGGTTCCCAAGGGCTCTGACCCCTTTGCATGGGAGGCAGCTGAGATGGATAGGAGGCAGGTCCTGCTCCCAGACAGACGTGCCCATCTGGCTGCATCCCACCTTCATCGCCTACATTTGGGCTGCAGCCAGACCTGCTGGTCCCCAGCAGCCACAGGCAGAGGCTGGCAGGCAGGGCTGGAGAGAGCTGGGGTCACCCAGTGCCCTTCAGGCAGCACCAGGGCCATCCCCTATGGCAGGACATGGCTAGTGACCATGACCAAGGTTCAGTGACCCATGTGGGGCTCTGAGGTTGGCTGGGGTTTGGCCACAATAAGCATGGTCCTCAGTTGATTCAGTGCCTGAACTAGCTACCAACAACCCATCCCTGCTTCATGAAACCCTGCAGGGCTGGAGGTGCCTCCACCCGTGTCCCATGTCCTCAGGGCTCAGGGGGTGCTGAGAGTCATGGGAGGGAGTAGAGAGAGCCTCACTCTGTCCTCTCCTTCTGCCTTCCAGCTCTGCATTGAGTTCATCAAGGACACACTCAGTGTTGAACAGGTCTGTGAGGCTCTGCAGGTGAGTGTGACCTAAGGGGGACACACAGGGTTAAAAACAACCTGTCAGATTTTGGGGCAGGAGCTGGCCTGACCCTCTTCCTCTCAGTAACACAGTGAGGCAGGATTTCCTACCCCTGTCCTGCCAGCTCCTGGCCACATTGTACTAGGGCTGCAAGGGCCACCCAGGGCCACCACAGCCTGGCAGGAAAATGTCCCCAAGGCCACACTGTCCTGAGCAAGGCTGGCCAAAGTTCCCCAGGGCCTTGCCGTCATCTGCATGAAACTGGGAGGTGCTGGGTTTCTGGAAACTCTGACAGTTTTGAGACCAGTACCTAAAACCCTGCTGAGAGTTGGGGCACTTAAAAATCCTCTTGGGGGGGTCCCAGTAGCCCTACCACACTGCTTGGCTGTTCCCAAGGCAGTTCCCCAGAAAAGGTGGATTTGTTCCATCCCCTGCAGGCCAAAGTGATGCTCTCAGGGAGAGATGCTGGCCCCAGAGCACAGAAACTCCTGCCAGATGTGGTGCCAGACCACCGCGGCATAAACAGAGCTAAAAGTGGCCTGGAGGAAACAAACAGAAAACCCCAAAACCCCAGAACAAAACAAACCTGAAGAAAATATCTTGCCTTTCCTCCCTGCTTGCGTCAATGCTAGTCCCCCGCTGTGGTGGAGGGGGAGGTATTGCTTGCTCTGCCTGTGCTGGTCCTGGGTACCCCACACGCAGGGGCTGACACTGCAGGGGTGGGGGGGACAGGGACATGTTCTCCTGGTGCCCTGAATCACAGTGCCAGTCCTGGGACAAGCATCTCTGGGAGGGCTGGGGGACTATGAAAGTATTCCAAATCCCTGCTGCAGTGGGTGATGGCAGCTGTGGGGCAAACTGGGGCTGGCACCAGGGCATGGGGCACGTGTGGTGGGCTCTGAGCTGACCCTGTGCCCATGCAAGGAGTGCTGAGGATGGGTGGTCCCGTCTTCCCCAAGCTGGGGCCCCTCACCCACCTGGGGCTGGGTGACATCCCTGAGCAGCAGTGGAAAATCAGGTGCTTCCTGATTGGTGGTGGGGCTGTGTGACCATTGTGGGCATTAGTGCCATTAAACCCTTTGCCATGGGGCAGGCCAGGAAGGGAGGGGAACCTGGTGACCATTCCCAACCACACCTGCACTGTGGTGCTCATGCGCAGGAATGTACCTGGGTCCCTGAGAGTGCCTGTGTCTCTGTAGGGCTTTGGCTGGGGGTCCCTCTGGCCTCCCTTGCAAGTGTCCATGTTGTCCCACAGGCTGCAGTGACCTATGGGCTGGCAGACCTCCAGCAACACTGCCTGGCCTTCATCGAGGGCTGCACTGAGGTACGGCTATGGGCAGTGGGGGAGCATGGCAGGGGGTATCCCAGGGCATGGGGAGCACTGGGGGCACATGGCATGTGGGACACAGCATGAGGCAGGGGAGCAGAGCCTCTAAGAATGGGGTGGCTGGGGTCTGGGCAGGGGAGGAAAGGGAACAAATGGTGTTTGGGGAGAAGACACTGGGTAGATGCTGGCCCCAGAGCACAGAAACTCCTGCCAGATGTGGTGCCAGACCACCGCGGCATAAACAGAGCTAAAAGTGGCCTGGAGGAAACAAACAGAAAACCCCAAAACCCCAGAACAAAACAAACCTGAAGAAAATATCTTGCCTTTCCTCCCTGCTTGCGTCAATGCTAGTCCCCCGCTGTGGTGGAGGGGGAGGTATTGCTTGCTCTGCCTGTGCTGGTCCTGGGTACCCCACACGCAGGGGCTGACACTGCAGGGGTGGGGGGGACAGGGACATGTTCTCCTGGTGCCCTGAATCACAGTGCCAGTCCTGGGACAAGCATCTCTGGGAGGGCTGGGGGACTATGAAAGTATTCCAAATCCCTGCTGCAGTGGGTGATGGCAGCTGTGGGGCAAACTGGGGCTGGCACCAGGGCATGGGGCACGTGTGGTGGGCTCTGAGCTGACCCTGTGCCCATGCAAGGAGTGCTGAGGATGGGTGGTCCCGTCTTCCCCAAGCTGGGGCCCCTCACCCACCTGGGGCTGGGTGACATCCCTGAGCAGCAGTGGAAAATCAGGTGCTTCCTGATTGGTGGTGGGGCTGTGTGACCATTGTGGGCATTAGTGCCATTAAACCCTTTGCCATGGGGCAGGCCAGGAAGGGAGGGGAACCTGGTGACCATTCCCAACCACACCTGCACTGTGGTGCTCATGCGCAGGAATGTACCTGGGTCCCTGAGAGTGCCTGTGTCTCTGTAGGGCTTTGGCTGGGGGTCCCTCTGGCCTCCCTTGCAAGTGTCCATGTTGTCCCACAGGCTGCAGTGACCTATGGGCTGGCAGACCTCCAGCAACACTGCCTGGCCTTCATCGAGGGCTGCACTGAGGTACGGCTATGGGCAGTGGGGGAGCATGGCAGGGGGTATCCCAGGGCATGGGGAGCACTGGGGGCACATGGCATGTGGGACACAGCATGAGGCAGGGGAGCAGAGCCTCTAAGAATGGGGTGGCTGGGGTCTGGGCAGGGGAGGAAAGGGAGCAAATGGTGTTTGGGGAGAAGACACTGGGTTCCAGGTAGATGTCTGTGGGGTGCTGGTGTGCCAGGGGTTGGGGGTCTGAGTGAGGGGATGCTGGGGTGCCAGGCAGCGATGGTGCTAGGGTGCTTCCAATGGTCCATGGAGTGTGGGGAGGCTGGTGCGGTGGTGTGCCGGTACCAGCACCCTGGTGCTGTGGTGTGCCGGTACCAGCACCCTGGTGCTGTGGTGTGCCGGTCACAGCACCCTGGTGCTGTGGTGTGCCGGCAGGCGGTGGTGCGGACACGGGGCTTCCACGAGCTCTCTGACGTGGTGCTGGCACGGGTGCTGCGCAGCGACCGCCTGGCTGTGGATGAACTGGACCTGGTGCAGGCTGTGCGGGAGTGGGCACACGTCAGCTCGGTGAGTGCAGTGCAGCTGTGTTGGGGGCTGGTCCTGGCTGACCCCATCCAGGCAGAACCACCCAGGAGTGCCCAGACACCTCCACCACCCCTAGCCGTGAGTCCCTGAGCCCAGGGGTATGTGATAGGCACAGAGGCTGTGCCTTCCCCCTCTCCAAACACTCCCGGCAATGGGACCTCACTGACCCCATCCCTTACATCCCACAGGCCGTTCTGGAGCGCCCAGTGCCTGAGGTGGCTGCCTTGCCTGTGCAGGAGCTGCGCCTGCCCTTGTTGGCCACCAGTGAGCTGGCAACGCTGGAAAGCCACAACCAGCGGGATCTGCTCATCCCGGTGAGTTGGAGGATGCTGCAGGGTTGGGTTCCCGGGGTGGGGGTAGGCACTACACTGCAGCCCTGCTGATGTCCCCATCCCCAAAGGTGGAGAGCATCACAGCAGCCTGGCGGTCCCATGCGCTGAGGAAAGGCAGCGGGGTCCCCTCACACCTCTGCCGGCCCCGGCGCGGCACGAAGCCTCGTGACCATCACCGGCACCTGGAGCCACGCACCAAGTAAGGGCTGGGCACCAGGTCCTGGGGGGGCTCAGGCAGTGACAGTGCCCCCCGACCCCAGCCAGGTGCTCTGCAGCAGGGCCGGCGGCGGGGCTGGGCACAGCCAGAGGGGCCACCGCAGCCCAGAGCATCAGTAAAGCCCTTTGTCCCATGCCACAGTGCCAGGGTCAGGGCAGCATCGCCGGGTCACCCCAAAAAGGGGTGTGGGGACATGGGGGGGG